CAGAGCCCGACCCCCCCGGCTCCCCCCTCCTCTCAGGCAGTTGTAGGGAGCGATGAGGGCTCCCCTCAGCCTCCTCTGCTCCAGGCTGAACCCCCCCAGCTCCCCCAGCCGCTCCCCAGCAGCCTGGGGCTCCAGACCCCTCCCCAGGTCCATGGCCCTTCTATGGAAAAAAACCTGACTTTGTGAACTGCAGATACAAGAGAAGCAGAATTCTTCTTAAAAACCATCTTTCCCCCCCCCCAAATGATATCAGTGTACTTTAGAAAACAAAATAAAGCACGCTGGTTTCTTCACAGCAACCTCTCGTGAGTTGAGACTGGGAGGAGTTTTAGGTTCTGGCTCCCCGGGAGCCACTCACCTCTCATCGATCTTGGAAGCCAGAACCTTGGAATACGGGATGCAGTTTTGGGTGCTGAGCCAGAGATGCAGCCAAGGCCCTCCCTGCTCCCCAGCAGCATCCCGGCAGCTGCTCTTCAGCAAAGCCGGTGAGCTCGGGCTGCATTCAGGCCACCAGCTGGGTACTTAACAAATAGCTCCTCGTAAACTGGGGCTTTCCCCTGTCTTGATTATTCCATATGCAAAACACAATACCTACCTCAGAGCCGTTGCCATGTTTAACGTGCGATACGAGATCGCAAGAGAAAGGACGCTACGGCGTAGGTACGGAGCGTGGTGCCATTGTTTGCAGTTAAATGTGGCCATACGTGACACCTTTGGTCTTGGCAGCTGCTCCAGGTTTGCCCCGTCCTGGCTTCTGTCCCACCCGGACTGGGGGAGGCACACGCGGAGTGCGTCACCAGTGAGCGCGCATTGGAGATGGATGGCAGGCTGGACGCGGGGCAAAGCTGGACTGCAGTAACCCAGTCATTTTGGCTAAACGTTTTGCTGTCTTTCAGGTTTGAAAAGGGCTTTTTTTTAACTGCTGTGGACAGAAGAGCTTAGGCTCGGGGGGCCCGAGGGAGGCTCTAGCCCAGGAGGGTGCCAAAGCAGCAGTGCCGGCTGCTTTACCGCTTCCCTGTGCCGAGGGTTGGGCTGCAAACGGGCACTGAGGGCCCTCGCGCTGCCAGCCCTGGCTGTTCCTCACCTTCCTGCCCTCGCTCTTGGGGGAAGAGCAATCCTGGCTGCCGCGCCCGAGGGAATTTGGAGGGCCTGCGGAGCCTGACACAGCCTTGTTCCCTTCCCTCTTAGGGCTGGCCCCTCTGGTTGTGTCAATTCCCTTTCAGTAACAGGAAAAAAAACCCCAAACCTTTTAATAAGAATTTATAATCCCAATTTCATTTATTCATCAAAAGATTTTTGAAAATGCCATAATCTGGTCATAGTAAATCTGTAAGATTCACTGCACCTCAGAATTCCTGGTAGGAAGCGGCGAGCCCGACTGCCTGTTCAGCTGGGGTGTGGAGCTGCTGCTGTGGAGCTCCACAAGGGGAAACCCTTGTTTCAAAGCACATTTTATGAGCTGACGCTTCTTTAAGAGCCGAAATGTTTATGCTGTGAACCAAACCATGCAAGGAACGGAGCTATTGGGCTTCTCAGGACTCGGACAAGCGCTTTGTCTAAAGACTCCTGCGTGCTGTTGGCTTTAGTGTTCTTCCGACAGGTCTGGGATGATTCTTCTACCCGGGTGTTTCTCTCTTGGAAGGCTGAATTGGAATTGCGTGACGTGTTGGCTTTCAACGACATCAACATCCGCTTCCCAGCCATCGGTTACACAGAGAACTTAAATGGGCATTAATTTATTTTTTAGCGAGCACTTTCTCTCCCTTGCAGCTCTCTTCACTTTTATATATCGAAGCCCTGATATTTCTCAGCCAAAAAACCCCAAATGCTCTTTTAAGAGCACGCTAGCAGAGCGCTTTGTACCGTGTGACTCGACAACACCCGTACTCAGTTACAGCACTTGTAGGATCTGGTAGGAGCTGAACGTTTCTGTATGTTGGAAATAAAAAAGGGTCTTTAAAGAACCTGGCTGATCGTTTGTGCAACTGTTCACGCGGGGGTAAGCGCGGAAAACTGAAACGTGTGCGCGGCTCTTCCCCTCCAGAGGCGGAGGTGAGGCTGGCCGGGATTCGGGTGTTCCTACGTTCTAACTGAAATGGGCTTTTTCCTGCAGAACCAGCGGGTTTTGGTTGTTCTCAGACCACAGAGTGGGCTGGCACGTATCACCCTGCCGTGTAGCTGGTTATTTCAAACAGAAAGGGCCCCTGGGGTTCAAATGGCCAACGGAGATTAACGGGGAAAGGATCACGTCTTCCTTCCGCAACCCTAAGAATTTGAGTTCCAGGCCGTTGTTATTGATCGATTTTATTCACGTTTCAGACAGTCTTCTGTAAGTAATAGAAAAATAGAATCTTCCGTTTACAGGTTGATCGGTCGCCGACAGCGGCACAAAAGTTACGTATCCTTTACTCGGGGAGACAAAACCAGAGTGCGTAAAGACGTTAAGATCCGACAGGCTTTAGCCCCCCGCGCAGCACCGAAGTGGCACGGTGAAGGCAGCCGTCCCCCGCGTGGAAGCGAACTCAAGTACGTTGGGTTTGGAGGTGGCTTTTTTTAAAAAAAAAAAAAAAAAAAAGCTTTGTGCAAGGGTGTACTCCAGTAAAATCTGCCCTTTCCAGCTGAGCCGGTCAGGATCTTGGGTCGCTCGCTGCTCAGGTTCCCTCGAGGAGGGCAGGGCAGTTGCCGCAGCAGCGAGCAAGGGCCCCCAGCTGGGGAGGTGCGGGGCAGGGCACGGCAGCAGAGGTTATGAGAGCATCCAAGAGGGAAATTTTTATGAGCTGGCAAGGCTTTTTGTGTTGCTGTACTGCCAGAACCTACCGAAACTGCGGTGCTCATCAAGGCCCTGTTAGACTGCTCCAAGGCCTAAGGACTCGGTAAGAAAAGGCTCTGGCCCTGCAGTCTGCACAGGGCAGGTGAGAGTCGGGTGTGGGAAAGCCCCAAGCCGGTGTGCCGGCCTTTGAGCCCACCGCTGCGGCCAGGAGGAGGGGTGCTGGGGTTTCAACCTTTTTTCAGTTGTCTGATAACCTGCCTTAGCAGGGCAGGCCAGGCAGTTACAGCCTACAACAGCCTTAAGCCAGCTTCCTTCAGCCTAGCTGTACGCTGCAGGCAATTTATCTTGCCTCTTAAAACAACTTGCCCCCGCTCGGGTGAGAAGGGACCTTTCTGAAGTGCCTAGGGCTTGGATTCCTCCCCGGTTTCCCTCAAGTATTGAAGGGACCCAGCCCATCTCCTGCTGCAGCGGTGGAATTCCCTTATCCACCTCTGTGTGTGGAAGCTGGCCCTGTGGCTTGTGCCCTGCATCCTCCTGTGGCGACTAATTATGCAGTCTCGTTTGCTCCTGCCGGCGCAGCGGAGGGAGGGAGGGAGGGAAGCTAAGCCCTGTTCTCAGCAGGGCTGGGCCAGAAATGGGAGTTTCTTGGCCTGAGGTGTCGCTGCTGCTGGGCGGTCAGTCAGCAGTTTCACACTCCAGGTCTGAAAAGCTGCAGTAATGCTCAGTGCTGGATAGCGCAGGACACGGCGCAGTGAAATAACTCCTCCTCCGGGACCCTAAAGGAGTGCCTGGCTCTGGTCCTGAGCATCTTCTGTCTCGCAGGCAGCCGAGGGGGAGGCATGGCTGGCTTCCCCGTTCATCTCCCGCAGGGGGTGGTAGCGGTAGTCACCGCTCCCACGGTGCCTCTCGGACCTGGCCTTGAGGAGAAGCCCTACGTTTCCCACCGCACTAACCACGAGAAGCAGAGCCAAGAGAGAGGCCACGGAGATCCAGGTTTTCCTGTCAAACAGAAGAAAAAAAAAAATCCACATAAGCAGCATCCCGTGACCTGCTTTCACACGTTCCCAGTGCACAAATGACTTCCCGAGCTTTGTACTCCCCTCTCCGCCACCACAAGCGTGCAGTTCTCCTCGCAGGCAGGTGAGAACGTGCTCGGGGAAAGCCCTTGAAAGGCTGCTCTGGCAGCCAGCGCCAGTGATGTCTGCAGCTTTCCACCCCGCTCGCAAGCGACCGGCGGCGCCTGCGGAGCAACTGTAGCTTCACCGGTACCGCAGAAGCTGCGCTCTGGTGTCGGAACTGTCCCGGCCCGCTTGTGGCATCTACAGCGGGAGAGGGGAGGCGGCTGCCGAGCGCGAGGCTCGGAGCACGAAGTGTCAGCGATGGGGGCTTCGGCTCGGCGCTTGTCCTACGACAGGGTTTTTATCGCCTTCCCTATCGCCCTTCCATGGCCAGAGCTGTAGGTGATGCAGCGGAGTCAGACGCAGACGCTCTGAGCCTCACCGACACGCTGCCCTGGCACTCGGGAGGTGGTGCCAACGACTCCACCGGCCAGCGACTGACGGCACGCGCTCGCGGTGGGTATAGGATGTGTATAGGATGAGCATTGCACGCTTACTCTGACAGAGAGGCTTTTTCTTTGCTCCTTCCCTCATTCTGGGAAGCCAGACACTGCCCAGCTGGAAAACAAAGAACAGAGGGAAGAAAGGCAGCACTGGGGGGTGTGTGTGTGTAAAATTCCACTGAAAAAGTGAGCTTAGGTGCGACGACAGCCAGCCAGAGCTGGCGACCAAGCAATCGGAGCGTTATGCACCAAAACTGCTTCTTTTTTCCTTTACAAGACGACCCCTGTGGCCAGCGGTACCTTTGTGTAGCTGGTCCTGTAGCGCCCACTGCGAGGTGATGTTGCAGCTGCCCGTCTCCGGGTCGCAGGGGCAGGCGTGCTCACACGCGCACGGCTTCTGGCAGTTCGGCCCGTACCAGCCCATGGGACACTCTGGGGAATCGAGTACAAAGAGGTCGGTCGTTGTCGAAGCTCCGTGCGCTTTGCAGCCCCCCACTCTGCCACTGCAGCCCCCCCGGCTCAACTCTGCCCCCTCCCTGCCATACCCGAGCTACAGCCCCGCCGTTGGGCTCAGAAGCCAAGGGGGCCGATGCCTGAAGGGGAGCGAGCACTCGCCTTTGAGTACTCGCATCCAGGGGGGTGCTTGGCTGTGCTGAGCGGTCGGCGCCCCGGGTTTCCCGCAGCCCGACGAAGCTGTTCCGCCTGCCCACCCTGCCTCCGCCAGCAGCCTGAAGGCACCGGCCCGCGCGTGAGCTGCGGGGATTTTGTTTACTTCAGGATTTTGTAAAATAGGGATCGGGCTGGCTGAGCGCTCCTGGGCTGGGAACAGCGCAGCACCAGCGTAACCGTGCACGTAAGACGTTTACGCCCGCGCTGGCCCTAGCTTGGCCTCTCACCGGAGCAGGCTGCTCAGGCAGAAGCACGGGGGGGCCGCGAGCGCGTCAGAACAGCCGGAGCGGTTACACGATCGAGAGGGCCGCGTGCTCTGTTAGCGCCAGCACCCGCACAGCCGCAGTTCGAAGGCTGTGGGCTGGAAGGGCCCTTTGGAGCGTTTCACACCCCCTGCCTTGGATCCCCTGAAGCCCAGGCCACAGGCAGGGCCTGGTGCAACACCCTCCAGCAGAGGACATTCAGGTATTCATGTTCTATGCTCAGGAGCTTGGGGAGGCCACGCAGTTCGTTGGGGCAGAGACCAAATGGGCATCTACAATTTTCTAACGATGAAGAAAACCCCCTCTCTGCTCCTTTCTTTCCCTTTTAGCCAGCGTGGGCAGGGCAGGCAAGCCCGTAAGGGCTGGGAGCTGGCAGGTTACGCTCCAGCTGCGAAGCCCGAGCCTGCCTGGCAGACCTCACGCTCACTTTGTTGGGTTGGGATGGGACACAGAAGCCCCTCCCCAGCCCTGGCTGTTACCTTGCTCACAGCTGGTGCCGTAGTAGCCAGCCGGGCAGGAGCAGGCTCCATCCACAGGGTCACACAAGCCGCCGTTCTGGCACCGGCATTTCTGGGTGCAAGCGTCCCCATAGAAACCGCTGGCACAAGCTACAGGAGGCAAGCGGAGATCTGGTCAGGGCCCTGGTTACAAAGGCAGCAATCCCACCCCACGCTTGCACCCAGGGAGTAGCCACGGGCACGGGTGTCGACGGCTGCTCAGAGAACAGGAGCTGAGTCTGTGCCTTCAGCAAGGAGCAAGGGCTTAAAACGCTTCGCACCGAGCCAATCGTAAGGTGCTCAGGCAGCAATTAAAAAGGAAAAGCACATTGTGTGGCCTTTCCCCTCCCTGCTGCCCCTCGGGGAGCCACCCACCGCTGCAGGCTGCTAGGAAGAGGCTCACGCTCTCCTCTCGCTGGGTATGAAGGAGGGGAGCGGAGCAGAAGTCAGCATTACCTTCACTGCAGTTGCTGCCAGTCCAGCCAGCATCACACAGGCATCCAGCTGTGCAAACACACACAAAGAGGCATTAACAGCAACAGAGGGAGACTTAGAAATGGCAGCAACTCAAAATTAGGAGCCCCTGCTTCTTGGGGGGCCCTCTTAACTTTCCCTGCCCCTGAGCCCACAGAAGAGGAACGCTGAACTCGCACCCAGGTTAGGGTCAAACACCCACCCGCTCCAGCCGCCAAGCACAGCCCGACCTCCTGCTGATGGGATCTGAGAGATCAACTCTGGGTCAGCTGTTCCCACCTGTAGCCACTGAGCTCTGCCCAGGCACCTCGCTGGGGCAAACCTGGCTGTGAGTTCAGTCGGGGAGGTAGCAAAGAAACGGGGAGCAGGACTGAGCGGGCACCGAAGAGGAGAAGCTGGGGGCTGTATGTTACGCTGTCCCAGGATTCAAAACAACTTTACAGAAGAGTTGCAGTTGCTCACTTGTAAAAATCGTGAAGCAGGAGAGTCAAGAAGGAACAGTAAGGGGAGGGGGCAGAGCTCAGCTGCTTTGTCACACAGCGTAATCCACGGCCCTTTCCATCAGCAGATTTACAAACAAACCAGGAGCACAACCCCAGGGGTAGAAAGGGAAACCCAGAGTATGGAGTCAAGTCCTACTACAGGTCCAGTCCCGCATCCAGGTCTCAGCCTAGCCCTGCTGCTGTCTCCTAAAGGCAACGTGTTCTGACCACCTCTGCCGCTGCTTCCGATGCTGGAGGGACGGGGGCGCAGCTCCGTACACCCGGGAGGGAAGCCGAGGGCTGAGGCACACAGCGCCTGCTGGCTTCCCGACTCAGGGCTGCCCGGACAATCGGCACCTGTGGCCCTCAAAGCCTGGGCTCCTGCGGCTGGGAAGCTGGGAAGCCTCTCCAACAAGGGCTGCTCTCTGCAGCGAAGGAAGCGCCTACTGCTGGTGCTGGTTCACATGAGCGACGCTCCTTCACGCCAGCGTGGGAAAGGACTCCGTGGACCAGGCAGGACCGCCCACAGGGATGTGCCGAGGCCCCGCCGTGGTGCCTCGGGGGCAGGTAAGCGATGCTCCCCGTGCACGTGCTGCCCAGGTCCGTGTTTCCCCTAGAGCTGCCCCCAGGCACCCACTGGCATCTCCGTGCCAGAGGCCTCCGCGCGCCGCGGTGACTCACAGTCAGTGCAGACGCCGTGCAGGCTGCAGTTGGAAGGGCCGCAGTCCAAGACGTCACAGGCTGGGCCTCTCCAGAAGTCCCCAGCGCAGCGGCACTCCCCCTGGACGCAGTCCCCGTGACCGCTGCAGTCTGCAGGCTCGCAGGCCGGCTCGTGGACACACATGATGGTCGAGATGCTCCGAGGGCAACGCCACATGTTGTCAAAGGAGCTGGGGACAGAAGATGGGTCCTGTAAGGCGTGCAAGCACCGTGCTGCTCCCAGCCCTACGCGAAACCAGTTGATACAATCCACAGATTGGCATCCCGATTCCCACTGGCAAACAAGAACATTAATAATGGGAAAATATAAACATAAAGCTAGATTTGAGTCGATGTTTTAACCAGGTGTTAACTCCTATTGGAGTCATTTAATTTCAAACACAGAATTACAGAGAGCAAGGTGCAAGCAAAGCCTCCCTTTAAGCAGTCGCAGCCTCCCTGATGCTGGCATTCAACACGTTCCTGAGTATTATTTGCTTTGACGTAAGCGACATCACTGCAGTTACAGCGACGCTTGGCTTTCAACTGTCAGACTGCAAACTGAATTTTAAATCCCTTCAGGTTTACAGTCAGAAATGACTAAAAAGCTAAATTTAAAGTAAAATATTCTTTAGGTTCCCTCACATGAGGCAGGGCAGGGTCTCCAAGGCAGCGTTTCTCTTCCATAATAACAAGCTGTTGACAGATCTCTGCTAATTCCCGTGAACGTGCAGCTCTGACTCGCCAGGTCTAAGAGCTGTTTCCTTATCTGATTCCCACGTCAGGCCGTTCGTGTCAAACAGCTTTGCTGCATGTCTGAAACCAGCTGAACCTTAATCCCAGATGACTAAGTGGAAGAATATGTCATCGCTAAATTGCTTTAGATTTTAGAGCCGCTCTCTCCCTCAAAGCCCGTCGCTTGTCTTTGCATTGTCATCTCCCAGCGACGCAGAGCAGAGGGGTACGGCTGAGCTCTGCACGCTCGCGGGAGCTGCGTGGTGACTTGTGCAGCCAGCACCTACCAGTGCTCAGAGGGGTAGTTGGCGAGGGTCCCATTTAAGACCAGCGTGGCAGACCCTCCGCCATCCAGGTTGATAGCATTGATGATTCCCTGCTGCTTCAGGAACTCAGCCATTTCCCAGAGGTTGACCCTGCAAAAGCAAACAGTTGGTTGTTGCTCATTGACACCATTTGACTTCAGTGGAGCTGCTGTATTTGGCCCCTCTCCTCGGGGGAAGGGGGGCAGCTCTCCCACCCCAGGTATGGGGGGCAGCTCTCCCACCCCAGGTATGGGGGGAAGCTCTCCCACCCCAGGTATGCCAGCTCGCTGCCTGGAGGCTGCGTCAGCCTTTTCTGGCTCTGCCAGAAAGACACCCGACGGCGGTGTCTTCAGCTGACCTGAGCTCTGTGAGCCTCTGCCTTAAAACATGTTACTGGCAGCTGCAGAGTCCCTCCGGTTCCAGGGACAGACTGTAAAGACCGATCTTGCAGCTGCCCCAGGACCTTTCCACAGCCCTGGCCTTACCCTCTGGATTCTGTCTGTCCATCCACATGAACCAAGACCAGCTGCCCCTGACTGTCGTGTCCAACCGCGGTCCTGGCTGATATCACATTGATGAACTTGTCGAAGGTTCCTGTGCAGGAGAGGGAATAATTCAGGCACCAGCTGGGTGACAGACCCGGCTGTTTAGACACATCTGTCTGCAAAACGGCGCCCAGCAAAGAGCTCATCTAAATTGAAACACAATGAGAAGAGAGCCCAGGTTCCTCTCGTTCATCCAAGCCCACCTAGGAATAACATTTCCAGAAGCACTCTTGTTAAGTTTTTTTGTCTGGCACAGGGACAAAGAAGGGGGTTCACAAGCCCTTGGTTTTAATCTCCTGTAAGAGGCATCTGCTTTGGGTTTCTCTGGACAAGCATTAACACCAGCCATGCCACCGCTATTTACTGTCCTCAGCAAATTCTATTCAACAACCTTGAACAGGCGAGTGCAGCTTTATCTTGCAGGCAGCCGGTTTCTTGCACCGCACTGGCCACAGACTCGAGGTAAAGTAGCACAGAAGAACTCCGGACCTCCTTAGGTGAGTAGCAAACTGTACCTAGACCACACAGTTTCCTTCCAACAGCCCCGTCAGAAGGACAACCTATACCCAGGCTGAAGCGAGGCTTTACAATATTTACCTGTGGTTTGAGTGTCACCACACTCAGCCACTCGACTCTGGCTGACGTACACTTCTCGGTCTCTTAGGAGCCAAACTACCCCGCTGACAAGCTGCACAAAAGGGTTTGCTTGGTCCAAGACATCTTCCTCAGACAGGTAACTGGGAAAGAGAGAGCAGGAGGGGTTACCCAGTCACAGCAGCATCATGTAGAAGCCTCTTCTGCTGCCAGCAGGCTCCAGAAGCGGGGAGAAGGCGGCTGAATGGAGGCTTAGCTACATCCCAAACTAGCGGCCAAGCAGTGTGAAACATCACTTTAGCAGCCAGAGTAGACTCTGCTCTCCGCTGTTCTTCACAAAACCACTGTTAATGACGGTCCCAGGCCACTGTGCATGAAACAACTCCTGCCAACCGTGTGGCCGGTGGACCTGAGCCAGGCCAGCAAGGGCAGAAAGCATCTGGCAGAACAGGAGGGCAGAGCCATGGCCAAATACTCGGGGATCTGCGGAAGCAGCTGTAACATCTTGCTGTCCGCCAGCTTCCATGCTGCAAAGCAGTGACACCAAACAGCTTTTGAGAGGGTTTTCAGCAACAGCGTCCAGTCTGCCTATGGCTGCGCTGAGGGGAAGCCACTGCTGGATGCTGCCTGCTCCCCGCCATCCGGGAAGGAGCTTCCTCTGCTCTTCCACACAGCAGAATCTTTCACTGAACAGTCAGGCAGTAAAGGGACTGTTCGGCGCCTGGTTCCGAGATCAGGCATTGGGTGTCACTGGGGAGTGCTTCCCAAGGGACAGACTTCTCCGCAGATTTTGGGCGCTGAGTAACACCTGCCCCATCAGAACCCGATGCCAGGTGATTGTTTGCAATGGACGGGAGGGGACAGCAGCAAAGGCTGGGCCCAACAGCCAGGCTTTCACTGTAAGCTCTGCCAGGGGTTTCTCGTTTAAAACCGATTGCTCTGCGTGCTCCGGACACGCCTTGTGGGAGCTGGATGCTGAACTTTTGGCGTTTTAGTATCCGTGATTGCAGCCGAACAGAGCCGCAGGTTTTGCAGAGAAGTGCAATTGGAAATACCTGAATGGAAAACGTGCAAAAAGCCATCGCTTTACCCAAGGGAAGGGGACACAAAGACAGAGCAAACACAGCTGAAAATGGATCAATTGCACAACAGCTTGAGCATGGACCGACCGGCCGTCAGCTCTTACAGCCTGCAATCGCCAGCCGAGGTGGCAGAGGCAGCATCTTTGCTAGGTGGGGGACAGCAACGTGCCCTGGTGCGCCGTCCTGACGGCACCACGGTGTGAAAGGGTCAAGTGCAAATTACTTTCCCCACTGCCCCGACAGACCAAATTTTTCTCACCAAAACTACTTCTAGTGTCATGTTCTGGACACCGCAAAGACACCGAGCAGACACCGCACAGTGCCATGACTGCATTTCACAGGGGAGATCCTGCCAGAGCAGGAGAAAAGCAGGGCTGAGTGAACCTGCAGTGGCTGGTGGTGGTCCCTTTGGCAGAAGCCCCCTTGCTTAAGTGGACATGTCACCAACTCCGCCAGCCCCTTCCACCAGGTAAATTAAGGCCATGGTTCTCGGGGCTGTCAGGAAATGGCTGCACAGTAAAGCCCCAGCTTGGCACAGGCAGCGTGGCTTTGCAGGGACCCTCGCTGAGGTCTGAGGGCACGTGGGAGTGGGCTGACAGAAGGGTGGAGAACACAGCAGCTTCCAGGCTGCTTCTCAGCGTCCTGAGACCACCAGAGGGACCTCTGGGAACCCTTTTAGGACCTTTAGGGTGCCTGCTGCTGCTGGGGAAGGGCAGCTACTGGGGGCCTTTACTTCCAGCAAGAACTAAGGGTCCCTCAGTCAGCTGTTCCTCATCACAGGGTGCTTTGAGCTTTTGTCTCCAGCTGATTAGGGAGCATCACACACCCTCTCACCTGGTGCCAGGAAGGGGCCTATATAACCGCCGGGCTGAGACCGCAGCTCCCAGCAGCCAAGAGATGCTGTGGCTTGGGCAGTGGGGAGCTGGAAGCTCTGCAGAGAGCAGTGTCTGTGGTCAGCTGTGGTGACACACCACAGGGCGCAGCCTCCGACACCTACAGCTACCCCCAGCACAGCAGGCGCCTCCCTTCAGCCCCAGCTGCGGAGGGAGAAGGCAGGGCTCGGGCTGCGGGGATACCTGGTGCCTCTTGCTGAAGCTGGGGCCACGGGAAACAGCGTTCCAGTGTGTGGCGCTGAGGAATGGTGCTGCTGAGACCAGGAGCTACAGGAGTAGCACACAGGTTCTGTGTGCTGCACAGCAGCAGGGATTACAAGAAAGAGGGACAGATCTTCCCTGATAGCCTGCAGAAACAAAACCCTGAATGCTCAATGCCCAGGAGCAGCACCCTGGAGCTGCTCACTGGGGTGGCAAATCCTGTGGTGATGAAGGCTGGAAGTCTGTGAGCTCTGGCACCCGGAGGGAGCTCTTCTTCCACCCAGATTCAGCGCCCTGGCAGCCAGCAAAGGGGCTGGGAGCTCTGTGAAACGCTGCGTCTGTGCCAGCTGAGCCTGAACCCTGCAGCAGCACCAGAGGAGGTGGGTGAGCGATGGGGGGAAGCTCTCTGCTGCGGGGGGCAGAGCCCCCACCTGCTAACCTGCCTAGGGAGGTGTGCTGGGGGCTCGGGTCTGGGGAAACCACTGAGGCTTCTCCAGCCCCCCGACTATTGCCCTCTGCTGTTCTTCCACACAGGCAACGACAGCACAGCACTGCCAGGGGAAACCAGGAGCGTACCAAGAGTGACTGCGTGGCTCTGGGGGTGACAGCCAAGGGGGGCCCAGGTGGTCCTCTCCTCAATCCTGCTGGTGAGGAGGAAGGGCTTGAGAAGCGGTGGATGGATTCTGTGGGTCCATATGCAGTAGCGCAACCGGGGTTGACAACAGGAATTTGGCTTTTACAAGGTCAGAGCCCTCTCTGAGGAATGAGGACCTGGCCAAGCGAGGCAAAAGTAACAATAGGCGATCTGTTGAGGAGAGCTTTAGAGGAGAAATGACCCAGGAGGGGGGGACCACCCACACGGTCAAGTGAGGAAGTGGTAGACCAGGCTGGCAAGCGAAGGTTGCAGGGTGACGTGGGCATAAGAACTTGAAAAACAAAGCATAAACAAAAGGGGATCTCAACCATATGCACTGAGATAAGGAAATGGTGAGAGGATGTACGGGGAAGCTCTCGCCCGCTTCCTGGAAAATCGGAGTGGGTGCCTATGTGAGGCTGTACAGCAATGCAAGCAGTGTAGGCACAAACAGGAGGAATCGGAGGCCTGTGCAGCTTCAGGGCTATGACCTCGCTGGGATTATGTGGACATGGCAGGATTGGGCTGCAATGGATGGGCACGGGCTCTTTGGGAAGAGCCTGCACCCTAGGGAATGAGGTGGGGAGCAGTGGCCCTCTACATGAGAGAGCAGCAGGAACACCCAGAGCTCTGCCTGGCTGAGGGCTTACGGGTTGGATCAGAGCTCCGGCAGATCAACGTGGGTGACATCGTGGTGGGTGTCTGACACCGACTGCCTCGTTGGGAAATGGTAGGTAAGGCCTTCTTCGGAAAACTGGAAAAAGCCTCATGTTCACAAGCCCTGGCACTCATGGGGGACTTTAACCACCTGCTGAAAGGGCAACACAGCGGAGCATAAGCAATCCAGGAGATGCCCGGACTTCTACTTAACAGTAAGCAACGGGTGGTCAATCGCAGGAACAGGTTTGCCCAGAGAGGTTGTGGAGTCTCCATCCTTGGAGATGTTCAAAACCTGCCTGGACCTGGTCCTGAGCAACCTGTTCCAGGTAACCCTGTGCTGAGCAGGGTGATGAAGGAGGCCCCTCCAGAGGTCCCTTCCAACCCCAGCACTGCGTGCCATGGCCTGAGCAGTTGTGTAGTCCACTCTGCCTCTCCTCTGTGGGGAGGACAAATATCTCCTGCCCTTCTACCACCATCAGGCGTACTGCTGCGTACTGGGAGAGGAGACATGGGAACCTAAGCAGCTAGGGATCATCAGAGTAGTTTATCCAGCTGCTTCTCAGCCTAGGGAAAAAAAGCCAATGGCCAAAGTATGGGTAGGACAGTGCTAATCTAAGTGTCCAATGCTGCAACTGGGAGAGGCCAAGGCTGCAGTGCCTCACTGGTTCCTACTGGTCCTCAGAGAGGAGAGAGCACCCTCTGAACATCCCCCAAGTTCTTACCCGAACACCATGGTGCCATCCTTCCGGATGCCAAACTGAGCGTTTTGCAGGCCTCCAGAGTTTCTCACCAGCTTTCCGTCACTCACAACATTCCCAAGGCACTCTCCGGTTCCCATGTCAAAGTACCCACCGTTCTGGGCCACCAGACACTTCCCGAGCTTTGCGGTCTCTTCCACGGGGGCTCTGCGGTGAGCCTGGCAGCCTCCTGTGCCGCCTGGCTCGAGCACGGAGAAGGTCCTCAGGGGGTTCCTCACAAAAGTGAAGTGGCCATAGACCACCTTGCGGTCCTCACCCTCTGGGGGGATGTAAGAAACAAACGTTCTGGTGGTAGCCACTGGGCCGCCCGTCCTGTTGTCACTGGGCCAAGCTTCGTGCGTTACGTTGCCGTACTTGACGGGCTGGCAGTCTCTGACGTGCCTGTGGTGGTGCCGAGGGCCGTGCTGGGAGGGGAAATAGGGCTGCAGCAGGGGGTCGCTGGGGGGGCTCCTGCAATGAGAATCATAGAATGTTTTGGGTTGGAAAGGACCCCTAGAGATCATCGAATCATAGAATCATAGAATGTTTTGGGTGGGAAGGGACCCCTAGAGGTCATCGAATCATAGATTGTTTTGGGTGGGAAGGGACCCCTAGAGCCCACCCAGCCCAACCCCCCTGCAGGAGCAGGGACACCTTGAACCACATCAGGTTGCTCACAGCCCCGGCCAACCTGGCCTGGAAAGTTCCCAGGGATGGGGCCTCCAAGATCCGGTTGCCCCAAGGCTGCCCCGGCAGAGCGCGGCTGTGACCCTACGGGTGGGACCAGCGTGGCTCT